TACAGAGGAGAGAGAGACAGAGAGAGAGAGAGAGAGAGAGAGAGAGAGAGAGAGAGAGAGAGAGAGAGAGAGAGAGCCCATGTGATCATATCTGGAGGGCAGAGGATAACTCTGTGGAGTCAGGTCTCTCCTTCTACCTTTAAGGAATCAAACTCTGGTATATGGGCTTGCATCATACGCTGCATCTCACCAGCTTTCAAACTCCATTTAAGAACCTGGAATGTAGCAGATGGTGGTGGTGGTGCATACCTTTAATGTCAGCACTCAGGAGGCAGAGGCAGGGAATACCTGATTTTGAGGCCAACCTGGTCTACAGAGTGAGTTCCAGGACAGCCATGGATAGACTAAGAAACCCTATCTTAAAGAACCAGAAACTAAAATCTAAAAAATGAAAAGAAAGAAAGAAAATGCCAAACAGATTTGCCTGCAGGCCAATATGATGCAGGCAATCCTTCAGCTGAGGCTCCCGAGACTGTGGGAACCCGTTTTCAGGTTCCTCGTGGCTTTACCCAGCAGGTCTGCATAGATGGTGATTAGGACCACGGGCCTGAGTGCAGGTGTCTGAGATGGTCTGCACTTGGCAGTGCTTGGGGGAAGTCTTTTGCTCCACCCCTTAGCATCTCTATAAATACCCTGGAGCAGAGACAGGGCCCGTTGAAAAGGTTCCAGGCCCTCTTGAGGCTATCCTTTATTTTTTATCTGTTTATCTCTGCAATCTAAATCCTTCTAATATTTCCTGCTTCTCGCACTCAAGAAAACTCTGGGGAACAGTGGGGTTGGTGGGTAAACGCCCCACACCCGATCCAGTGTGTGAAGCTGACAACCAAACATTGCAGGGGCTGGAGAGATGGCTCAGCACTTAAGAGCACTTTCTGCTCTTCTTGAGCACAGGAGTTCAGTTCTCAGCAACTACATGGTGGCTGGTGAACAATGTCTGCTGGACCAAATCCCTCTGGCCTCTGCATTTGACCATCTGTCATGTACCCTGAAACTTACCATCCTAGTACCTCTTCTCCCCCACTACTCACTTCTTACCTGGATAACAACCAGTAGGTGATGATTTGAGTTGCTTGTCTTCTCACTAAAGATCTCTGATCCCTCCAGCAGGACTCTGGACACTCACTACCAGCTACTTGAGGTCACTGCATCTGCCCAGGTAGCTCTAGCTGAACCTATTGCTCACCAGAACTGACCTTGGGAGGGCTCAGGCCTGACCTTTGGACATGAGTGCAGATGGGGTTAGGGGTGGAAGGGCAGAGGACTGGGCAGCTGTTCACTAAAGGATAAAAGAGACCGAGACCACACAGCCTTTAACCAATGAGAAATATTTTTCCTAAATCTGGCTGACCAGGAAACCAGAGATTAACCTGACTTTACCTATGGGGTCCCATGATAGAGAAAGTTAGAGAAGATGGTGTGTTCTATTTTGTTTGTTTAAAAAGTTATCCTGCTGTGTACTTTAGAGGGACAATTATCCTGTGGTGTGTGTTTAGGCACAGTGAGGACTGGAAGGTCAACAGGATGTGATCCTGCATTCAGGTCATTTACTCTCTGTCCAGTTTGGTTTCATACTCTATTTGCTCTTTATGATTTTCTTCCTCTCTCCTGCGGTGGTTTCTATGAAATGATTCTGAGATTGTGACAATGGCAGGAGTTAAAGCTGTTAGGCAGGTCATGGGGAAAATGCCGAAGGCTGGTGGGAGAAAACTGTAGGTGGAGTGACATTTAGATAGGATAGAAGACAAGAGTTACCCAGAACTAGTTAGAAGACAACTTGATGAATTACAGACTGATGAAGAAGGACTTAGGCTGAGAGGAAGCTGACAGTCTGGTACCTCAAACCATTGCTTATATTTCTGTTCTTTCTAAGAAACCGCAAGTAGCTGGCCTCTGGGGTGATTGCCTCAGATGTCCTGATAATTATTAACCTGTGAAAGGATAAGCTGGTATGCTTTGGCTCTCTTCCTGGGAACTTCTATCTGCAATCAAGGGGCACAGGGTACACTTTGCTGATTTACAAAAAGAACTTTTGAAACTATTGTAAAGAACCCAAACATCTGTTGAATTTTATCATCCCCTATTTCCTTGTATTATTACAATAAAAGACTGGGGTTGAGTCAGATCAAGAGAAAGTGGAGAAGATGTGCATCTCCAGATCAGACGAGACTCATCAGCTTGCACCAACTTGTATGTCCCAGGCTTGTCTTGCACCTGCAAGACATCCCTGCTCTTCGAGACTCTTGAAATGGCTGAGGCTGACCCCCGGCATGTGAACAGAGAATCCAATTAGCAAATCTGAGTTCTTTCTATAGGTGCTGTATAGAGGTCACAGTGTGTAGTTGAACTAGGCAGGCAGGGAAGGCATGCCAGTCACTGAGGTGACAAGTCTAACAGTGAATGCTTTTGTAATGCTTGGTGTATGGAGTGTTGTAGAAGCAGATGGTGGCCTGGCAGTCACAGTTACAGATGAAGGCCTCACAGGGGTTGTTTTGTCTGCAGAGAAACAAGAAAGGAAGTTGAGTGGAGCCCATGACCCTGCTCCCTACGATTTGTAACCAAAAGAAACCGGTGGCCCTGCCATTTGTGCAGACTCAGGGGGGGGTGACCTAAAGGTGCATTGGGTGACCAAATGGTTGGAACACATTTATAATAAAAAAAGGGGGGCTGGAGAGATGGCTCAGAGGTTAAGAGCACTGACTGCTCTTCCAGAGGTCCTGAGTTCAATTCCCAGCAACCACATGGTGGTTCACAACCATCTGTAATGAGATTTGGTGCACTCTTCTGGCCTGCTGTCATACATGCTGTATACATAATAAATAAATAATATCTTTTTAAAAAAAAACACACACACATTTGTACTGTGGCTGGGGAGCTGGCACAGTGTGGGGGCCGTTTCACCCACATATTTCCCCAGAGTACTCTTGAGCAGGAGCAGCAGGAAATATTAGATAGAAAGATAGCTAGAGAGAGAGAGACAGAAAACACCGGATAGCCTTGGGAGGACCTAGATCTTCATCCATCAGGCCCTGAGAGTCTCTGCCAAAGGGTTTTTAAAGGAATGCCAAGGGGTGGAGCAAAAAGAACTCCCTCCAACTCAGAAAAGGGCAGACCATCTCAGACACCTGGTGACCATGCACATGGTCAAGCCACCTCCAATTGCAGCCCTGCTGTGTAAAGGAAGATCAGAGCTAACTGGGAAACTTTTGTGGGCTCCCATGGCACAGTTGGTAAAGCGGTTGCCAAAAGCGCATGCAGGCCTGACCTAAGATGCCCAGAGCCCTTCTGAAAGGCAAGATGTGCTTGAAACATCTGTAAGTGTATTGGGAAGCAGGGAGCATGTATCCCCAAAACTTGTTGGTCAGTCAGGCTAGCTAAAGGTGAGTTTCATGTTTAGTGAGAAAGAGGCGGAGGCTCTAAGGACATGTGGAGAGTGACTGAACAAGAACGTGATGCCAACTCATTCCTGTACATAAAAATAAATAAACACATATATTTAATCCTAAAACCAGGAAAACTACAAATATCAACTACCTCTTATAAAATTATATGATTTAAGATAATCCTGCTGCCTGCTCTTCCCAAGTGCAGGGTTGCAGGTGTTCACCATCACACTCAATTCATGGAATCTGGAGGTGGAACCCAGGGCTCTGTGCATGCTAGGCAAGGACTCTAGCAACTGAGCTATATTCCCAGCCCTCTGAATCCTCACCTGTAAAATGAGAATGATAAATGTTGCCCTGCATAGGTGTCTACTCCAGTATCTGGCTTATAGCCAATGATGCAGCTCTCAGTTGTTTAGTCAATGTGGAATCAGTATAACACAGCAGCTAATAGGAGAGGCTTTGGGAAGGCAAGATGGCTCAGGGAGTAAAGGTCCTTGCTGCCAATCTGAATCTAAGTCCCATCCCCAGGACTCACATGGTTGAAGGAGAGAACCGACTTCTGCAAGCTGTCCTCAGACCTGCACATCTGTGTTGTGGCCCAGCATGTCTCCCACAGAAATACAGAAAATCTGGAAAAGTTTTTAAAAAGAGGATTTGGAATGATGTAGATCTGTGTTCCAGAACCAAATGCCATCACTTCTAAGCTGGGTGACATTGGGCAAGTGACCCTGACTTCCTCCTCTTCCTCATCATTGACCTCATCTGTATTTTAGTATCTACCTGATAAGGTAGTTGTGAGGTCACATGAGACCAAGGAAATGACCACTAAATGGTGACTGTCCTTGTTACTTCTGTGTCCCTTCCAAACCTGCCCAGGGGCAAGCAGAGTCCAGATATCCTGGACTGTAAAAATAACACTGCAGGTGATCTTATTGCAGAACACCGGGCTGAGTAAAAGATGGTGTACGGGCTGTCTATGAAGAATTTGAAGCTTTCCAGATTCTTGAGATGAGCATAGCAGTGGTCATGAGTCTGGAGAGAGGAAGGAGTAGCTGAGGGAAGGGTATGGACCCGCAGGAGGTCAGTTCTCACCTACAGTCTTTCTCAAACAGGTGACAATAACTTAAAACACTATGTTCCAGAAGAAATTATCCTGAGACTTCAGAATCTGTGATTTCTACTAAGCACATATTAATGGAAAGCAACTTCTGTGTGGTGTGGTGGTGTCCACCATTAATCTCAGTACTTGGGAGGCAGATGAAGATGGATTTCTGAATTTGATATCAGCATGGTCTCCTGAAAGAGTTCCAGGAAACCTAGGGCAACACAGGGAATCCTTGTCTAGAAACAAATAAAAAATAATAATAAAGAAACGAAACAAAATATATGATGTTGGCTCATGAGATGCTCTGCTTATGACCTGTTCCCATCGGAACTCTGACACTCCAGTCTCCCACCAGATAGATCACTCCTCTGGCGGAGTGTCTGAGCCCCCAATGGCACAGTAGCACCCATGGTTGTTGTACTCTGACAAGGGATGGCTCCGGGGGATGGTGGACATGATCACATTGCCCAACTGTTACCCAGCCAGAGGGTGATGCTGTGTGCAGTAGCACCTGCTACAAGAATGCACAGCACACTCCATCAATACCACTTGCCTGCATGCTGGATTTGTCCTGGACTCCTAACATCTGCTGCATCAGGAGACCAGGTAATAGAGGTGTGTGTGTGTGTGTGTGTGTGTGTGTTCATATACATGTTTGCCCCAACACAGGTAAAAGCAAGCACTTGGGACCAGTCATAAATGCCATGCTAACATAAGGAGTTCGGAGCATAGCTATAGAAAGCTGTTTTTCTCCCTCTACTATATAGATCCGGGAGACCAAACTCAGGTCAACAGGCCTAAGAGGAAAGTGTCTACTTGTTTGAGACAGAGAGATGCCCAGTAACCCAGTCTAGACTCTGACTCTGTGGCAACCCTCTGAACTCAGTCTCCCCAGTGGTAGGATTATAAATGTACTCTACGGTACCAGACTGGGATGACTCCTCAGGACTCAGTTCCATAGACATTTCCCTTTGCCTTGCTTGCCTGCTCATTTCTCACTGTCAGGACAGACAGCCTCCACACTGTGAGCTGCCCTTGGTGCCCGTGTTAAGATGCTGAGAACACTCTCCAGTCAGCAGCCAGGGACAAACTGACATCTTAGTTCAATAACCCAGTAACCAAACCATCTCTTGAGTTTGAAAGCTGCCCCACCCCTACTCAAGCCTAGGTGAAACCCTAGCCTTAGCCAGCAGTGGGATTCATCACAGTTCTAGCTGAGACCTTGAGCCAGAGAAGCAGCCAACACATGCTGATTGTTTTACACTGGAAGAATTAGAAGGAATCTGTTGTATGGCCATGCACAGCTCATAGACAAGGATAATGGTCAGATCATCATTGTAATGTCAGCATTTGACACTACTACAAACTGTTCATCAGCTGAGGAGTAGGTAAATGACCAGGATTCAATCTGCAGTGCGATACTCGGTCATCATTAAAATGCAGGAGAAGCCAGGTACAGTGGAACACACACTGTGTAATCCCAACAGTCTGGAGGCAGATGTAGGTGGATATCTGAGTTCAAAGCCAGGATGGTTTATAGAATGAGTTCCAGGACAGTTTTGCTACACAGCAAAACCCTGTGATGAAAAATCATTCAAAAAAGAATTGCAGGCACAAGGCTGGCATGTATGTAATCCTAACACTTGGGAGGTTGAGGCAAGTCTGGGCTAGAATATTGAGTTG